GGTCAATTTTGATATATCAAAAAAATTCCTATGTGATGCATGACTATTAAATACATATGACGATGCTTAACAATGACATCTGACAAAAGATCCACTTTCGCCTTCTTTTCTTCACCTTCTCATGTTTATTGTTTTACTTTTCTTCTCAAATCTTTGCATTTCATACTTATACTATCTAATAAAAGTACAAAAACTTAAAAAAAAAAAATTCCGTTTGTTTTTGTTATCATAGTCAGTCAAGATGCCAAATAGAAAATTGCTGGAAACATCAAACATAAACATAAGAACTGATAGAGGGATTATAAACTATATATAAGAGTGGAAATATACAATTTAACCTTCACGTGTTTTTCTTTTCTTTTTATTAAAATTATATCCCACCACTGATAAGTTGTAACTGACAAAAGTATCTGTCCTCCCATAAAAAAAAAAAGTTTTGAATTTGAGTCTCTCTTTTGTTAAAAAAAAAAAAACATTGTATCTCACATGCATCCTTTTCTCGTACCAATGGTGGAGATTGATTAGTGTTCTTTCCTCTTTTTCTTTGGATAGGTTGTTTTGTTTTATTTATTGTAATTTCTTTCCCAGGAAATTGAAAAAAAACAAAACAAAACAAAAATAACATGCGATATAAAAAAAAACAAGGCAAATAGCCATAACAATTAGCAACAGAGCTTATCCGTCGCTAAATAACAAATATACAACGATAAAATATCATCAGTTGAAACCAACGTTGGAATAACAACGATTTATTAATGACGAACACTAATTCATCATTAAATTTGATGGTAAATTTTTTTTTGAAGTTTTAAAGACGGTTTAGTGATGGATTTGTTAAAAAAATAGCGACATAATAGATAATCCGTTTTGCTATTTTCAATGTCTCGATTAAACGATGGAATATCCGTCGCTAAAGGACACATCCCTCACAATTTAGTGATAGAAAAAGCCATCGCTGAAGGTGAAAATTGGGCAAGATTGGATGAACTTTTTGAAAGTCAAAACGCCAAATTTACAATGGATTAGCAATAAAAACTTACTTTCGTTGATATATGCGAAAAAAATGAACAACCACCTATTCGAAATTGGTTGCCCATTTTGAGACGGATTAGTGATGAACACTTATATTCGTCGCTAATTAGCGATGGATCAACAATGGATCGCATTCGACACTATTTTTAAATCCCTAATTTAAACCCTCTTCTTCTTTCTCCTTCCCCATTTTCTTCTCCCTCTCCTTCTCTAGCCAGCCTACCGCCGGTCTCCCTCTTTTCAAAATACCACCAAACTCCACTCTTCATTCTTAATCAATCCACACTCACTCCAAGGTCTTTTCTCTAAAAAACCTCTCATTTTTCATTCTCTTCTCTTGATGTAATTCCGCCCGAATTAGGTAAGTTGTTTATCTTTTTTATTTTCTTAATTAAAGTTAGTAACTTATTGTAATTGTTAGATTAGTTTTAAATTTAATTGCTTGATTTATAATTGTGTATATATTCAATTGTTATTTGGTTAATCTATTTGTTAATTTGTTGATTAAGTTATTAAATTTTGTTAATTATTAGGTTAATATGTTAATTAATTATAATTTAAATTTAATCGAATTGATTTTTAATTAGTTAATTTTATTTTATTTATGTTTGGTTAATTAGTTAGGTTAATTATGTTTAATTGGTTGAATTAGAATAAATTTGTTAATTAATTGTAATTTTGTTAATTAATTAATTAATTTTTCTTAATTAAGTTAATTTAATTTTTATTTTAAAATTAATTTGGTTATAATTAGAATACATTAAGTTAATTTGATTTATAATTAATTAATTAATTAGATTAATTTTATTTAATTAGTTGAATTATAATTTTATTTATATTAGAGATTGTTAATTAATTGTTATTTTAAATTTAATTTAGTTAAAATTAGAATTAATTAAGTTAATTTGATTTATATTTAATTAATAAATCAGGTTAATTTTATTTAATTGGTTGAATTAAAATTTTATTTATATTAAAACTTGTAATTTATTGTTATTTTAAATTTATTTTGGTTAGAATTAGAATTGATTAAGTTAATATGTTTTGTATTTAATTAAATGATTAGGTCAATTTTATTTAATCGGTAGAATTAAAAATTTATTTATATTAAAACTTTTTAATTTATTGTTATTTTTTTTATTTAATTTGGTTAGAATTAGAATTAATTAAGTTAATTTGATTTATATTTAATTAATTAATTTAGTTAATTGTGTTTAATTGGTTGAATTAAAATTTTATTTATATTAAAAATTGTTAATTTATTATTATTTTACATTTAATTTGGTAAAAATTAGAATTAATTAAGTTAATTTGATTTATAATTAATTAGGTTAATTTTGTTTAATTTGTTGAATTAAAACTTTATTTATATTAAAAATTGTTATTTTAAATTTAATTTGGTTAGAATTATAATTAATTAAGTTAGTTTGATTTATATTCATTAAGTTATATCGTTTTGTCTATTGTGTATTTTTTCAATATTTGTTCCGCATTTTGAACATGTTGAATTTTGTGCCGATAGCATTTTTAGCAACAAGAAAATATCAAATTTACATATTTTTATTTTTTTAATTTATAGTATATTTTCAATCAAATTGTTATTCATTTTTAAACTATTTTAGGATTATTCTTCGGTTATGCCTCTTGAATTGGTCATATCTAGTTGTAGTGTCAATGATCGTGACTTTGATATTGATTGTGCAATTGATAATGACGATGTATGTAGATGTGGCACTATTAGTGCAACCGTCCGTGGTCGGGGACTTGATAAAAGTGTCGGCATATCCGCATCCCCTCTAGTAGTGCCCTTGTCGATTATGACCTCTCCGGTCGTGCCTCCTACCGTGGATGATCCCATTACGGTTTCCTCAGCTCAAAAAAGTTCTACTCGGATCTAATGATGGACGAATTATTTTGGTCATGAATAATTGGTAAGTGATATATTTTACATACAATAATTAGTTTTATATTTTTATATATTGTATTTGAATTATTAATTCACTTATTTATTATTTATTTGTTTTGTTCGACGAGTTTAGTTCCATCAAACAAATACTCGACAAAAAGCATTGCAATTTTCAAAGAGCGATTAGATGTCATTGGCTTCACATAGAAGTCCGTTTCTATGAACACAAAAGACTTCTATTTTAATGAGTTTAAGATAACATATTAATTATTTGATTATATTTCATTTAAAGTGTTAATTTAATATGAAAAGTACTAATTGATATATTTTTTTTTATGTAGAAGTAGTTTTTATAAGATGCACCCATCGACGCATTGATTACAAATGCGTGGGAGTCCGACATAGAGGCAAGCATGCGACATGCTTAACAAGTTGAAGTATAAGAGTAATTGACTTGTGTTTATTAAACATGAGGTGTGAGAAGTATGACATCGGGATTAAGCCACTCTTAAGTATCGGACCAATCTCGGCAGGCATGTCAAAATTGCATGTTAGAGACGAGTGATGTCGATGTCGGCTCATTTAAGCATACTAGAGGGTCTATCTCTTTGATCAAGTACATTAAGCATTTTATAAATCTAATATTGTCCATTGTATTATAAATTAATTTTTATATTTATCTCATCTCATATTATTTTGTTTATTTTTTTTAGCATAATAAATTTGGTAATAACCCAAATCCTTACGAGCTATTCGTGACAACTCACAACCGAAGGATGAGAAATTCATTGACAAGCGGTTGCGGATAGTAATTATAAGATTTTATATTTTTAAAAATATATATACATCTATCAATATAATTTAAAAAATACATGTATGATTCAATATTATAATTATTTCAATGACATAAGAGCATGTGCGATCAATGCAATAAGCAACTACTAAGGAGCGATAGGAGGGTGATTCATCGTCTCCGGATATCAATATATCCAAGATATATTTGGATGTCTGTTGGAGAGGAGAAGAGGCATAGAGTGTACATCATCGAACTTATGCTTCCTATTGTTACTCATATCCCGACACCGAGTCCCCTTTGCCACTTCGTGGTATTCTGATGATAATATCCGAAGGTTTTCGCTCAATACGAAGATAGGGTCAAGGGATGGAGGCTACTATCCAGAGACGAGAGTTAGTCAAGTTAACAGCATACGGACTCAATTACGTACAATGATGGGATTGTTACGTAACCTTCGCAGGCTAACGTCTCTCGCCGCCGACTCTTTCATAATTCAAGAGACAACCGTTCCTCTCAACATCTAGCAAGTCGAAAGATGATGCAGGAAATGATGCTAATGAGGAATAATTTTTTTATTTTTTTAATATTTTTTACACCTTAACGTATTTATATATATATTTTTTATTTTAATTTATACTATTTTAATTTTATTAAATAATATATCGTGTTTCAATAAGTTATTATTTATAATTGTTTGTTTTTATAATGAACAATATACGTCTATTGATTAAACAAAAATTAAAAATTCATTCGTTTAGCGACGGATTTAACGATGGAATTATAAATATTTAGTGATCATTATTTAGCGACACACCATTCCATTGCTACATAACGACAAATATAAGCAAAAATAGCGACAACGTAACGATATATATAAGATTGTTTTAAATCGATTTAAAGACGAAAATTAACAAAATAGCGACAGAAAAAAATTCTATTACTAAGAAAATAGCAATTACCATATTAACAATGGAATTAAAATTGTCTCTGATCCATCAGTAATTATGTATAGCTACAGATTTTTGAGATATAGCGACCTAAAAATCCGTCGCCATATATCAGTTTTTTTGTAATTATACAAGGCACGTCCAGATTTGTTGGTCTATTCAGAGGGATCTCCTGCGTTGGTCCATGGAAACGCTACTTAATGAAAGCAACAAAATTACTCAATGCACTGTCCCCCGAGTAAATGATAGGAACTAATAATCGGCTACTGCATGCTTTGTCATTGAGAGTGAAACATGGCAAAGGTTTGGTTCATCTCCATCAAGAAGGCGGAACAAAACAATTCCACGCGTCATCTGTGAATTCCGTCCGTGAACCAACAAGTACCCAACTTGTTAATGGACCGAATAATCCATTAAATCCTCCAGAATGAAGTTGGGTCCCTTGTCTTTTTTCTTTGGACTGAGAGGAGAAGAGTTCCAATTCATATAAAACTCCAACCAATAAAAAACTCTTCCAAACTAAATTAATTAAATAGCCAAACAACAGCATCGAACTGGTTTGGGTTACAGAAAGTTTTCTTCACCAAAGTAAGAACATAACAGAAGAATAAATCACACTATTCATTGATCTAAGACTAAAGCTACCAATCAATATCAATTTTTTCTATCAAATTAGAAACAACTATAGTTTGACTCATCATAAATCAATAAAAAACGGACTGTATTATAAAAAAACTTGATTTTTGTTTGAAAAGAAAAAAATCTCTACGACAAAGAGAAGAAATAGTCGATAAACAATCTAGATCTAGACAAAGTAAAAACAAAATAATCTAAGATATAGAAAAATAAAAGGAAGAGGTAACCTAATCTTTGTTCAAAAAGAGAAACTCTCGATGATTTAGAGAATGAATAGTGGATAAGATAAATGACTCCATAGATGAAGATACAAATGCAAAATGTAAATCTAGAAAAAAAAAATAGTCTAAAGATATTGAAAAAAATAAAAAGAGAGGCTGCTGTTGATGAGAACCACCACCAACAATTTAATTGACACTTTAGAAAAAAACTAGATTTTCATAGGTTTTTTTTATTGTAATATTAATATGGTATGAAGAGGATAATAGTAAATTCTGTAAGCTGAATGCTAGTGGACGTACCATTGCCAGAAAGACTACGAAGTCCGACCCATGCTGATGATGGAGCAAAGCACCTAAGGTTGACTCGTTGGCATTTTGGAAAGCCCATTTTACGATATGTTGTCAAAAAATAAATTAAAAAAAGGATGATATCCATCATTTCATGCTGATGATGGAGTAAGCTGTTGTGAGTTCTTCTACCATTGTTCATTGTTTTCTGTTATTTAAAAGTAATTTTATAATTTTAAAAAATAAAAACCAAAAATAAAAAAATTGGCTATGGGTGGGTATAGATGGGTTATACCTCCTTGTTCCATTTCATATTTATTAGATTTAACTAATTGAATATCCGTATTACGTTACGAGTGAACTAATTATATTTATTTTAGTTTGATAACATGTACTATGTTATCCGTCAATAAAAATATATTAAATTAAGAATAAAATGTCATCTAATTTTATAATTTTTAATCAAAATTTTGCATCTATTTTTTAATAAATTTTATAGTTAAAAAACACAAATTGTTCTTTTTTATGCATTTATTCTTAAATAAAAATTCTTAATAATCTAAATATAAAATTAAAAAAAAACATTTTAATATTTTTTATAACATTAGATTGAATAAATAAAACAAAAATTAATATAAAACCTACATAAAAATTAACAAATAAATCTTTTTTATTCTTGTTTAATATTATGAGAAGAATTTTTTTTGAGAATATATATATATATGAATAATATTAATATAAAAATTTATATTTAAATTATTAGGCGGTTTTTCTAAAGATTGTTTCAATTATTTTATTTGAAAAAATAATTTTAAAATATAAAAAATAATAGCAAATGGTTGGTGTTATGGGTGTAGATGCATTATACATAGTTAATTTGTCATAAAATCAATAATTCTAATACATATTTTTTTTATACGAGTATGATCATATTCATTAGGTTAGAACGTGCAACATAAATCAATTTTTTTTTAAAATTAAGTTGTAAAAAATATATTGAATGCAGCAGAGTGCAATAAAAAACTTATAAAATTGATTTCTATAAAATTTGATTATATAAAGAATAAGTAAATAAAACGAGTGAATTCTATTTTTAAAATCCGATTATATATAAAAAAAAGCAACTAAAATCAACTACAGGAAAAAAACTTCAAAAATCTATACATAAAATAAAATAAATTATATTTATTAACAAATAAAGTTATATAAAAAAGAAGAAAAAAAATTAATTTGATTAGAATTTTTATAAGAAACTGAAAAATGAAGAGATCAATTTTAAATAGTAAGAGTAATATACTTTGATATATATGTTTATTTTAAAATCTAAAAATGTATCATATATATATGTTTTATAATTTTCAATTTGTGTGAAAAAATAATGATTAGTTTTTCAAAATTTTCACACCCAGTTCAACAATAAAAAAAAAAAACATAAATTGGTGGAAAAAACCAAAGAAAAAAAAAGAAGAGAAAAAATAATGATTAATTTTTTATAATTTCCACTCCCAGTTCAATAATAATAAAAACATAAATTGATGAAAAAAATTAAAAAAAAAAATCAAACAAAGAAAAAAAGAGGCAGGCACCAGGCTTGCTAGGGATGAAACAAATCGGTATCAAATTTTTATATATTTTAAAACTGTTGAGATCAAAATAAAATATGAGTTAAATTTCGAATATAGATGTCCAAAAACAGTTAAAAAATCATAAAAATATCATTCTCATCTATAGTTTATGAATAATAAATTGCGAGGGGATGAATTCAAAAAACCCAAGTCTTTTATTTTTTTTTTAATATAAGAAAGATAATATTTTTCCATCTAACTCAGTCAAATTTCTCTAATAATTAAAAAATATGGTTTTTTTCTTTTTTGTAATTACAGTAAAATAATCAATAATTAGCTCACAATGCAAAAGCAAATATGAAGCTCATATAAATATTGAATTTTATCATACTTATAATACATAGTAAATCATGCATTTTTTATATAACAATAGATTTGTTTCAAAGAGTAATCGTTCGAGAAATATACTTGACTAAAAACGAAAACATATAATTAATTAATTATGATTCTTCAGGACACAAGATGCATGTTTCCCATTCCGATTAACGTATGAAGAGGAAAATGCCCCAAAGATGATCTCTATCGAGCTAGGACGGGTGATTTTGTCTTCGCCATAGCTCTGGGATTTTAAGCCAGTACACATTGGCAAAATAGATGGGCCATCATCATTTCTAGATCCACGCACTTGAACTATGGCGGGCTTTGAGCCTTCTATAGAAAAAAGGGAAGAGTTATATGTAGGCCCATAACGATATTTTCTCATTTTTCGGTCCAGAATAGGTAAGGCTAAATCTAGAAGCAGAACCCAAGAATAATATCATCACGCAATAATTAGTTAATTACTCGACACGATTCGGCTATCAAATTGCTGATTCCACTCCGCCTGTACTCGCCTGGGAAAGCCCCAAAAAGGAGTCTTGATTTTTTAAAGTTCAAAGAGAATAATATCTTCGGATCCGTTAACCCCCGGTCACGGGGGTCTTTTCCCCGCCACTTCCTCTGTTTGGTTCCATAGGAAACTGTTGCTAGAAAATAAACAAATCAAAGCTCAAATCTCACGAACTTTAGTTAGAGAGACGTAAAGAGAAACTATCGCTATTGAATATCTCAGTGAAAATCACTCATTTCTACACTCTTAGCGAAGTCATCAGCTTCTATAAGAAGTTTAAATTCACACAACTCGAGTTCTAATTCAGTTACTTAAATAGCTTTTGGCCTTTCAAGATGGTCTCTAATGCGAGAGCGGCTTTGTCATTGACAAGTAATCAATTGTTTTTAGGTTCTTCTATGAGAGTGTGTAGTGGATTTCGGAGCTCAGGGGCATGCAATTTGTTGTGTCGTCGTTTGAAAGGTGATGCAGTGTCTTTTGGTTGTCGGTTTAGAAATTTCGCGCTGGTGAGAGATAAAGGACAGAAAATTGAAGATCATCCTCTTCTTGATGGTTCAACGGATAATACCGATGATGAGCAGGTAATAAACTTATAATCACTCTTTTTTATTTTTTTCATTAAATGCATAGCAGAATGAGGTTGTGTTCGTTGTTTCTTTTGGGTGATTGGATTTTTGAAGCAGTTTTAATTAAATTTGGATCAAATGAATGTGCAATTAGTTTAGGAATGGCATCAGTTTCTTCAATGCACTTTCGAATCAGTTTGCATTAAGCTCTAGTTGTTGGCTTTTTTTGCATTTTTTGCTTAGGTTGAAGATGTGCGACCGAAGGTGCCAGAGCGTGATTTTACTGGCACTGCTTATGTTCCTGTTTATGTGATGCTACCGGTAAGCGTGACTGTTTTGACACAGTGATTTCATGTTTGTTTATGCTTTAGATTTCTTGATTTAGTACTTAAGTTTGAGGTATTTAGTTTCTTCGAGTTTATATGTTGTGTTTAATGATGCGGGAAATGGCAGCTAGGTGCCATCGACATGAATTGTGAGTTGGTTGATCCTGATAGTCTACTAAACCAGCTCAGGACCTTGAAATCAGCAAATGTTGACGGTGTTATGATTGATTGTTGGTGGGGGATAGTTGAAGCTCATGCTCCGCAGGTGTATAACTGGAATGGTTACAGGAGGCTCTTTCAGATAGTGCGTGATCTTAAGCTTAAGTTGCAGGTGAGTAGCTTATATATACTATGTTGCATGCTTGGTCTATCATGAGATCACAGATTCAGATAGTGAGGTATGAATTTGAGATCACAGATTCTGATGGAAAAGATAAATTATTTGCATAAGAAAGAAGGGAAAACTGTCACCTAAAGCCTATATGACGACTCTTTCTTGAACTCTAATCTGTTGTGTTTCACCTCTCTCTACTTTCCAACCCAAAATCTGCTCATTATTGGTCCAAGTACAAGGATAATTGCATCTATAATACGTGCTATGACACCCTTCAAATCAATTTCTTCAAGTTCTTCTTCGTAGAAATAAACTTTAACCTTCAACATGCTTATTCATAGAATAGTATGTTTGTTGGTCTTATGTCATTTTTGGAGAAAGGTTTTTTAAGTTTGATATCGACCTTCAAACTTACAATTTTCCATATGGAGTGTTTGGTGTTATAGTACTTCAAAAAATATTTGCTGACCACACTACTATTTTTTTACTCTAATATAAGTGCAGGCTGTTATGTCATTTCATGAATGTGGAGGCAATGTTGGTGATAGTGTACATATTCCGCTTCCTCATTGGGTGACAGAAATTGGTGAAACCAATCCTGACATATATTTCACAGACAGAGAAGGAAGGCACAATACTGAATGCCTCACATGGGGAATTGATAAGGAGCGAGTCTTAAAAGGTCGGACTGCTGTTGAGGTATTGAGTTAAGGCATGTTTGTAACATGATATCAAAAGTTTTTGATTTCGTCTAGGCCACATCTAAGTTGAAAATACAGCATAGTACCTTTTTTGTTCTTTCCTGTTTAATCTGTTGTTCTTTGACGATGTATTGAATCCTGAATTACTTTAAAGTTTATAGCTAAAGTTATTGTGTTAAATATATCTTTGTGTTTAGAATCAGAATGCTTGTTTGGAAACAACCTCTTTTTATTCAGCAGTATCAATGTTATGTAAACGTTCTACCTAGTATCACATTTTCAAAGATGCAGTTTAAACCTCTGTAACTAATTAGTGTTTTTGTTCATATGCGCTTAGCTAGAAATTTAATTTTATAATCTTAAATTTGAAGGTCTACTGTTGATAAAAATAATGCAGGTTTACTTTGACTACATGAGGAGCTTTAGGGTAGAGTTTGATGAGTTCTTTCAGGATGGAATCATCTCTGAGATTGAAATTGGACTAGGCCCATGTGGGGAGCTACGGTATCCATCATATCCTGCAAAGCATGGTTGGAAATATCCTGGCATTGGTGAATTCCAGGTATGTTTCGATAATGGGTAAATAAATTGACCTTCACCTTGAAGATGGCATATCCATTAGGGGTACTCTATCTTCCATATTTTTGCACAGAAGAGTTAAAAATATCCTGATATTGGTGAGATCCAGGTGTATTTGAATTACAGGTGAAGTTCTATTATTGCCGAGAGGCTTGATAATCATTATGGAATAAAAATCACCTACTCTTACGTATTCCATAGTTTGATCTCGTCTGTCTATCACCTTTTCATAGTCAACCTTATGAAATTATGTATTGCTCCTCAAAATGATCCAAGATGTTTCAGTTCAGTGCTATGATAAGTACCTGATGAAGAGTCTGACCAAAGCAGCAGCAGTGAGGGGGCACTTGTTTTGGGGCAGAGGTCCAGAGAATGCAGGTTCTTACAATTCTGCACCACATGAGACTGGGTTTTTCCGTGATGGAGGAGACTATGATAGTTACTATGGAAGATTCTTCCTCAATTGGTATTCTCAGGTTTTAATTGATCATGGAGATCGTGTTCTTGCTCTGGCTAATTTAGCTTTTGAAGGTACTGGCATTTCTGCAAAGGTGAGTCACAACTGCATGGAATCTTGTTCTTCTTTGGAAGAACAAGTTTTGATTTCTTGGAATGATTGATTACAATTACGATTAAAATGTTCTATCATTTTTATACTAAGATTTTTTTGCTATATTGATGGTTGACAAGCAGCTATCAGGAATTCATTGGTGGTACAAAACAGCTAGTCATGCTGCTGAATTGACTGCTGGATTCTACAACCCTTCAAATCGTGATGGCTATGCTCCAATTGCAGAAATGTTGAGGAAACATGGGGTTGCTCTCAATTTCACATGTTTTGAAATGCGCACATTGGACCAGCACGAGGGCTTTCCAGAGGCACTTGCAGATCCTGAGGGATTAGTTTGGCAGGTAAGCAAAGGCATATGCGCGGTTTTATCCCCTAGCATATGATGTTTCAAATAGGGTAACAAAATATCTGTTGTGAGGGTAGAGGGATGTTTATGTTCCGTTGAACGTGGAGTAGATGGTGCTAAATTTTGACATGCATCGGAGTCTTTTTCACTGAAATTCCATGAGATTTGATTTCACATTTTGTGGATTGGTAGCATCCTGGAAATAGGGTGTTATTCAATCAAGTTAGTTTAAATCTCAAGTAATATTTTAGACCATATTATCCTGTCATATTTTAGTTTGCTATCATCTTTTCAATTTCCAGGTGCTGAATGCTGCATGGGATGCTTGCATCCCACTTGCCAGTGAGAATGCTCTTCCTTGCTATGACAGAGAAGGTTATAACAAGATATTAGAGAACGCCAAGCCTCTGAATAATCCGGATGGGAGGCATTTATCTGTTTTTACATATCTCAGGCTTAGCCCTGCACTCATGGAGAGACACAACTTTGAAGAGTTTGAACAATTTGTCAAGAGAATGCATGGTATGGTAGTGCTTCACTTTTCTCCTGCTGGTTCCACTACAGTTTCTTTTGGTTCAAATTCCTTTCAGCTGCCCGGGATTTCTAGCATAGTGATGATAAGAACAATTTGTCAGCATGCATGATATATGATATCTAATTTTGAAGCCTATATATGTGAAGTCATCTACGATTTTATGCTTGGCTAGTTAATTAGACTTTCATCTCATACTTGTTCATAAAATGTTTAACTTGCACATTCATGTTTGTGTGTATGTGGTTGATATTCACTATAAACTTCCTCAACTGCTCTACATCAGCCCTCAGCTGATGCTTATGGCAACTTTTCTTTATTTCCTTTTCCTTTATATGAGCCAAACCAATAAGTTCATACTCATATTAACAAAGAATTGGCTAATGCAATGCTGATATTTTGTTCTATTTAACTATAGATTTGGTTGAAGTTAAAAATTATAGGAAGGACTTGAGGGTACAGTGATTCCATTGTTATACATGCATATAACGTGTACACATGCACTTTTTATCCGATAGTGATTTTTGCAATTCGTGTTACACCCAATTTCAGGAGAAGCAGTTTCAGCTTTCAATGCAATTTGAACAGAAATTCCACTAGAGATGTTTGGGTTGGGTTGCCGCCTAGAATTGCTGTCACACATCAAGAAATTGTACTTTTGACATGTTGGTCCATAACATACAATGTAATATGTATAACAGAGCAGTTCAATATAGATTATCAATTGTTCTAGTTAAACATCAAAAGTTTTTACCTTGAACTGTCCCAAGCATCTATTGTTGCGACTTGGGAACAAGCTCATCCTTTTATCAATTATTTTTTAATATAGTCACCGTCCAGGCTTCCACGTATCTGGAGGGTCTTTGCTATGTTTCTACATTTGGCTCTCTCTCTCTCTCTCTCACACACACTCACACACACACACACACAAACTGATTTTATACGCAGATGAAGCAATTGACTCCTTTCCGTAGCAGGCAAGCAGATGCATACGTTGGTTATTGTTATTTCTTTCTTGATCCAAAGTAAACAGCGATTGCTTCTCGTTATTTGTTTATGACATAATTTCCTCATGAAATTAAAGTTCCTTTGAAACATGCTAACCGGTAACTATTTTGCTTGATGTGATGGTATGAATAATGGCAGTTCATTTCTTTTAGGTAGCTCAACTGCATAACGAGGATTGTGTAATGAGATTACAGTTAGATCATAGAGGGGAATGCTGTCCTATTGCAAATCATTCCTAGTTGATCAAACTAGGAATATTGCTATCAATTCCCAGTTAGTTTTCTGAATAATTTTAACCAGTTGATGGTCAGTTCTATAAACTCATAATTTCTAGACAAGCGCAAAAACGGTTTGTAACCGTTTACCACCAATGTAGGTCACGTGATTGGGCCCTTAAGGACGCCCTAGCATCTCGTGTCCAGTCTAACTCAGCCAACTTTCGGCACGTGCTACACGTGTCTACCACACTCCTCTCTTGCTTAATTACACACGCCCCATTCGTGTCAAACCAAAACACACACACACACACAAAACACGCTCGAGCCTCTCCACACGCGCGAAACCCTAACCCTCGCACGCAAACACACATTTCCACACGCGCCTCCTTACTCGCTCACGCAAGCTCGCCGTTCCCTATCTCTCCTCGCCGGGAAAACCTCGAATTTCTCGCCTTCTCGAGGAATTCTGTGCTTAATTACGCTTAAGAGAGTGGCCATGAAACGACACCGGAGGTTCTCCGGTGGTCGGCGAAGTTAGGGTTTCGAGAGAGGTAGATGTATCTGTTGTTATGAAGGAGATATATGCTGAGAAAGTTTGTGAATTTGTTTACGTAAAAGCTGGAAAGTGAAATTTGAGTTGGAAATGGAGAAGTAGAGGGAAATTTGAAGTGTTAGTATGCTAAAGGTGAAGCTTTTGCGTGAATTTTACGCGTGAAATGTGCGGAAAGCTGTTATAAGAAGGTGATTATTGTGTTTATTTTTGTTTTTACTTGTAGTTAAAAAGTGCTAATTTTTATTGAAGTTCTGTAGTTAATTTATAATGAGACAATTGGCCTTTACTTATTATTTGGTTGCCGAGAACATAAGGTGGGAAAAGAGAAGAAATTAATGGTTTGATTATTTGGTTTTTTTAATTTATCCACTTTAAGAAAAAAAGCGAAGAACTAGAAATGAGAAACTGTCATGTTGATGCCAAATGTAGGGGTAAGGATAATTAGCGGAGGCATTCGTCTTCTTGACTTCTAAGCAGTTAAAAACACTATAAAAGCTTCAATAAGAGGCTTAAAATGAAAAGGAGAGCATTCTTTTTCTGTTTATTCTTCCCTCTTATTTACTTTTTCTTGGTATAATTGATTATGTTTGGGAAATAACTCTGAAGTTTTTCATTGTTGCCAGGGAAGTCGAGAATGAGGCTGGCACATGATTTTTTCAGTTTACAGCACATTATTTGAAAAACAGTAGCTTTTCAGGTATATGGATACTTGAGTGGAAATGATGGCCTTTGCCATCTTAGAAGTATTGGACGACTAAGTATTAGTAGATTTGAGAAATTTGGTTGTGTAAGAGAGAGATTATGGCATCGGATATTCAGAAGTTAATAGGAACAAGTGAAGAAGATGATGACGAAGAAATGGACATGGATGTTAAAGAGGAAGATGATGAAGATGATGAAGATGGAGGGAAGCCTATTGCTGGACAAATGATGATAGGAATGGATGGAGGGATGGCATCAAACAGTAGTAATAATCAGTTTCAACATCACCAGCAATTTCAAGAACAGGTTAGTACTCCTGGAGGAGGAGCTCGGAGGTCTAGACCGCTTGAAGAAAAGGAGAGGACGAAGCTAAGAGAGCGGCATCGGAGGGCAATCACAGCAAGGATTTTGGCAGGATTAAGGAGGCATGGAAATTACAATCTTAGGGTTAGAGCTGATATAAATGATGTAATTGCTGCTTTGGCGAGGGAAGCTGGCTGGGTTGTTCTTCCAGATGGAACCACCTTTCCTTCAAGATCTCAGGTACTTATCTCTCAAGTTCAAAGCCTTTTGTTTGCTGAATTTGTTTTATTTATTATTTTAGTGTTAGTGATAACTCATAAGAATGCATATTAAATTGTTATGACTCATGGGTTTGAATAGTTATGGTTGATCAGAGTACCTCTTCTGCATTCCTTGATTCTTGCTTCAAATGGATGTTAGTAAAATTTAGAGGGAATTGTTATCTTCTTAACTTCTTGCAGGGCTCAAGGCCTGTGGGTGGCACCTCTTCTGCAGTAACGCCAACGTCTTCACATCTGGTGTCACAACAGACTCCACCTGCTTCCCTCAGAGGAGTCTCTTCTGGTCATCGGACCTTGGTTGAGTACACTTCATGCCATATGAAAGGTGTTTATAGACCCAACCCCTCACCTTATGATCTATCTGCAAGCACTCAGCCGCAAACCCCAGCAATGGTGAGAGAGGGAGGAGAACAAACAGAGAGCAATCCCCATATTGGTGGCTCCATGGACACAATAAATGACAAACAGGTACTACAGAATTCTTTTGTACGATATATGTGCTGCAATATTCATCACTGGATGTTCCAAAAGTTTTTCTCAAGTTGAATGTTTGTAACCTCCCTATGACACTTCAAACACCCAAAAAAAAAAAAAAAAAAAAAAAAAAATTGCATGGCTTGCTTGTTCTTTACCCTTTGTTTGTCTTGCACATTACACGGTAGGCATAAAGAAATTAACTGTCCCTTTGATTAGCAGTGTGGAGCACAATATTGCAGAAATGTAGAACTTTTTTTTTTTAGTCAAAGAATCTAGAGTGCCAGTTAATTTTCTAACAAAGCTTGTTTCTTCTAGATTCAGTGTTTAATGTCACAAGTTTTCAAATATCTTCTCTCTATCTCTCTCTCTCTCTCTCTCTCTTCTATAGGTTGTTGACATACCTCCAATTCCAAAGTTCCCAGAGCGGGATTTTGCTGGCACTCCATTCATACCAGTTTATGTGATGCTACCAGTGAGTTAATTTAATCCTACCATTTGAGCTATTAATTTTAGATATGGTGTGTGCTATCCTATTTTTTATTTCCATCAGAGTTCAGCCTTTTTGTGAAAAATTCTATATTTTTCATTAATATGTTGTTTCTTCATCTAACCTAAGTGCCAAATGTGAGATCTATGTAAGTTCTAATCGTGTTCTTTTGGTGCCATAATTTGTTGGTGACAGTTGGGTGTCATAAATATGAAGTGCGAGCTGGTTGATCCAGATGGCCTACTGAAGCAGCTCAAGGTGTTGAAATCTGCCAATATTGATGGTGTTATGGTTGACTGCTGGTGGGGCATAGTAGAGGCTCACTCTCCTCAGGAGTATAACTGGAATGGTTACAGGAGGCTCTTCCAGATGGTGCGTGAACTTAAGCTTAAGTTACAGGTGAGTGCTGTTTGAAACTTGTTATCCTGTATGGTAGCTCATGCTCTCCCTCATTCTGGGCGCAGAGTTAATGCTAATTGTTGGCTTTTCTTAGCAATCTCCCTTTCTCTGGTATGCCACTTCATTGATTGTTTACGAATGCATCCGTGCATGTGGATGTTGGTGGTGTGGATACAATGCCCTGATTTCCGCAATGTTATAAGATCCAAATTTTTTTAAGTGTGTTGGAAACTGAGCAAGTTGTTGCTGTTGATCATACTGTCAATGACTTGAGCATGTGTGACTAAGCATGTTGATGGAGCATAACTGTGAGATTGTTCTCAGATCAAATTTAAGGACCTTCTATGATGATCTTGATAGGAGTTTTCATTAAATGGCAGAGCAATAACATTTGGCTAATGAATGGGTGACGGTTGGGGAACTTACATGCAGGACTGAATTTGTTGAAACTATCATGAAGCAATGCACTAATGAAGGTGTTGTCAAGTAGACGTCCTTGCATTACATTGGCTTCTTGTCTATGAAGGGAGAGGGTTGATTGATTTAGGTTTGTGATTGCAAATCCCCAGAGCTTGGGTGCTGATATTGGCTGTGGAGTATTTTTTTTATTTTTCTGAAGGTTACAATAAAAACAATAATTCTGAGCACAGCCAAATCTATGAACATAATTAATTATGTTCATGTTAAGAAGGGATTGTGTTTTCACATGGTGGATTTAATTTTTAAGATTCTAAAACTATTGAAATGCTTTTTATGAATGTATCTTCATCTAAACATGCCACAGCAACTTCTTGTTGGTTGTGCTGTAGTTGCCTCTGGCTGAGAGTAAATTGTCTTACTGATTTCTGACCTCAGGTTGTGATGTCATTTCATGAATGTGGAGGCAATGTTGGTGATGATGTTTGTATTCCCCTTCCACATTGGGTGGCAGAAATTGGACGCAGTAATCCTGACATTTTCTTCACTGATAGAGAAGGAAGACGCAACCCAGAATGTCTTTCATGGGGAATCGACAAAGAACGGGTGTTAAGAGGTCGTACTGCTGTTGAGGTACATCCTGCTGTGGCTGTCAGGCTTTACGTAATTATAAGCTAGTGTATGGTTGATACGTAAAATATTTTCTGTCACTCTTTGCAAATATCCACACGACTATCTGCTTCTATAATAATCATTAAATTTTCTTAGACACCAACATAAGCTAAATACATGGATAAATTGTTCCATTTAATTGTATTTTTGAAGTTGCTGTTTTGGTTATGGCTAACTTTGGGAATATACATGATGCTGAATTCAAAACTGGATTTTATGTGTGTTCCTACAGCAATTATCATAACATAGGTCGTTTCATTTGCTGCTTTCTTGTGATCTGAGAATTTGAGATGGACAATTTTTGAGGCTAGTAAATTTGGTGTTTTTATCTTTATGATTGACTAATGTAGGTGTACTTTGACCACATGAGAAGCTTCCGAGCAGAATTTGATGAATTCTTCGAGGATGGTATCATCTCCATGGTTGAAATTGGACTTGGTCCTTGTGGGGAGCTACGGTACCCATCTTGTCCTGTGAAGCATGGCTGGAGATATCCTGGCATTGGTGAATTTCAGGTAATATTTTAGCTTCACTATTTTAGTGATATTTTTTCTTAGTGATGTAAGGTTTCATTATCCAAATTTGAGTGCTACGACTTTACAAGTTGCATTGTTTGATCTATGGAACAACACCAACAATCCATACACACAAACTTGTCAATAGCTTCCAACATTTGCTGTCACAATGCTTCTACTGGCCTTGAGAGTTACCGCTGTGGCAGTATGCTCCAGTTACCTGTTTTTCAACACCATGCAGCCTCTCTTCTTTTCTCTTCTTCAAAATGCAAAAGCTATAAATAGGAGTCAATTTGTAATGAATTTCCAGATTTCCTGGGACACAATTTGATCTTTCTGATTCCTATGACCATCTTATCAAATACTATATAGAAGTGGACTTAGACATGAATGTTTGGCAGGTTTTATTTGATTTTAATAAACCAGTTAGCTTGAAAATTTGCTTTGCACCATGGCTCATTTCTCAATTTTTTTATTTATTTCATAACTTGGTAATAAGAAAACAGTTATTACATTAGGTGAATTGGTTGCTCTGGTTACTTGATTCTTTCATTTATTTTCTCAACCTGTGATTGTCAATTTATGGTTTATTATCTGAGCATCGTTAAAAAAAGCCCTTTATTTGCAGTGTTATGATCAGTATTTTCTGAAAGGCTTAAAGAAGACAGCAGAAGCAAGGGGACATCCATTCTGGGCTAGGGGACCAGATAATGCTGGCTCCTATAATTCCCAGCCACATGAAACTGGTTTCTTCTGTGATGGAGGGGACTATGATGGGTATTATGGCAGGTTCTTCCTTGATTGGTATGCTAGGATTTTAGTTGATCATGGTGATCGGATTCTTTCTTTAGCAAAGTTAGTTTTCGAAGGAACTCGAATTGCTGCGAAGGTGAGTCAACTTTTCAGATATTTCTTCTAATTTATAGGCTTGTTTATTTAAGTTTGCTGCTGAGGTGCGTTTCTTTCTTTTCTCTTTAACTCCGTTGGTCCCAATTTTAAGTTGATTTAATGACGCTGGAGCTTTCTCTAGGATTTATTTTATTATATTTCTAAATTGTTAAATTAATTTAGGGTCATGTGATTATCATGTGACTTTTAAAGTGTTTCTAGTTAACTTGGGGACTAAGACTAGGAATCCTTTTCCTACAAGTATAGGGCTCAAAACTAATATGAATAACCTGTTAGAGTTACCTTTGTAGTAGTTTTTTGTTCTTTTATCAATCTATTCAGATTCTAAAGGTTTTTTATGAACCCTAAATTCTATTATCTTGTTCCAATTTCTATTTTATCTTAATTTTAGCCATTATTATGTTGTGATTCTTGTTTCTAGTGTTTTTCCTTTCCCCCACTACGTCAGTTGATGTAGTGGGAATAAAAGGCAAAAGATAGCTAAAGAAAGCTAACACAGCCAAAAAAAGAGAATAAGCTCTTTTTAAAGTTATCAATATATCAAAGTTATTTCTTATTACATAACTTTAGCTGTCTAAGCTACCACAGTAAATAATTGTAAATAAACTATTAAAAGAAAAACCCTAATTATATGAAAGCTACTGTAGTACTAGATCTTGCATTCCAAAAACTCATCCTCAAGTTCAAATCATTCTTTCCTTGATTTTGTAGATGCCCAATCAAAAGTTGTCAAACGTTTTTTCCTTCTTCGCTTCAAATACATATCAAAACTGAATAGTAGTTTCATTTCATGTTTAGCACGACGAACTTGTACTCACAATTATTCTCCTCCAATTGTTGTCTCGGACAATAAACTGTATAGTACAACTTTGTCTAATAAAAAAATGCAGCCAACATACAATCTCTATAGAACCTTATTTTTGAGGTTGTATCATGCACATACTCAAAAGGATCATCGTAGTTTAAGCCAACGAATTCCTTTTCTGAAGCAACTACAATGACGCAATCTTTGCATTCAGTTTCTGGTTTTTCATGGCTGTTGTCACTGCTGTCATCGTGTTCATCATCAAGATCATCATCATAATAAACATCATAGATTAGTTGAGAATCCCAATCCACATCTATCGCATCATAGATTCACAAAGAACTCCAATCCATAACTTCTTCTTTCTCAACAAATAGAGCTTGCATCTCTTCAACTCTCTTCAACTCTCTTCCTCCATTGAAGTGCAGTGTTTTTTCCCTCTTCCAACCCGCCTTGCTGGTATGTTTTATGGCTCCAGCATCATGAAAAAGGTCTTGATCCTTATGACTACCTTCCGATATGTCTAAGGGGCTGTGGTCACCTTCCAAAGTCTCCTTTAGGGCTTCCACTTTAATTTTAAGCAAGGTTAATATCTTTTGCTTGAGTTGGTTTAGCATCCTTTGCAGCTCCAACATCTCTTGGTTTTGGTTGAACCTAGGGATTCTCGCTCACTTGGCTGCCGTCACCAAAATCAATAAATCGGAACCATCACCAAAATTGATAAATCGAAATCGAGTTTGGGCTCTGATGAAGAAAAGACAAAAGATAGCTAACGATAGCTGACACAGCCAAAGGTTGGTTGTCAGGGCTGAACAGCCAGAAAAAGAGAACAAACTCTATAAAATTACCCAAATTTCAAAGTTATTTCTTATTACCGTAGTAGCAGCCCTTAAATACTAGCAAACCCCTCAGTAAAATAAATCCTAGTCCTTAAAATAGCTAAATCTTAGCCATCGAAACTACAACAACAAATAATGCGTGAATAAACTATCAAAAGAAAAAAACTAAATATATGAAAGCTACTGCAGTTCTAGCTCCTGCATCATTTAAGATATTTGTTTTTTTTCCATTCAAAATGCATTTAGAATTTTTGAAAACTACATCTAAAAGCTATTTAAATAGTTATGGCTTTGATCCATTCTGTTTGCTACATTTTAATTGCCGAGCAGCTATCAGGTAGTCATTGGTGGTACAAGACAGCCAGTCATGCTGCCGAATTAACTGCTGGTTTCTACAACCCATGCAATCGTGATGGCTATGCTGCAATTGCAGCAATGCTAAAGAAGCATGGGGCTGCTTTAAATTTCTCGTGTTCTGAATTGCGGACAGTAGACCAGCAAGTAGACTTTGCAGAGGCACTTGCAGATCCTGCTGGATTAGTATGGCAAGTAAGAAACCTCCTGTTCAGCTTCAATATTTCCTAAACTAAGCCTGTCAATAGGCCTTGCTTATAGAAGCCTACTTTTTCACGTATGTGAAAATTTGGGATAAACATTATGCTATATCTTTGCTTCAGATTCACGGGGTGCATGTTTATTTATGAGCATTATAACTGTCTGTTTCAGGTGCTGAATGCTGCATGGGATGTTGGCATACCAATTGCTAGCGAGAATGCTCTTCCATGCCATGATAGGGTCACATATAACAAGATTCTGGATAACGCCAAGCCCTTGAGTGATCCAGATGGAAGGCATTTTTCTTCTTTTACTTACCTTAGGCTCAGCCCACTTCTAATGGAGAGACAAACCTTCATGGAATTTGAACGCTTTGTCAAGAGAATGCATGGTAAAGTATTAGAGCAACCTGCAATTATTTTTAAAATTTGAGTATTTGCAATGCTATAAATTTTCATCCAATCACCCATGCTGTTTTTGCAATGCTATTAATTTTAATTTAGTTACCCACGTTGATAAAAAGAAAAATCCAGTGACCTAGTGTAGCATCTGTTGGGTGGGGAGGGAACTAATAACCGAAGGAAAAGGGTGAAAGTAGAGGGTGCCTAATTTCTTTATCCAAAAGTTTTAGATGCTGCAATACTTGCCAGAATCAGAGGGACAACGAATTTGGTGCTACCAACATAAATTTCCCTGATTTAGGTAATCTGCACCTGTCTTCTGTTTCATAAACAGTGAGATTACTCCGAAAGTTTCCTCCAACAGTGCCCTGTGAAGGACAGACAAGTCATTGCCCGGCCCCTTTTACTTGCTATCAGAACAAAAAAACTTGCTTCATCTTCATGAACAGCTTTGTAGCTGAATCTGTTTAGATGTTGATAAATAACTTGTTCTTCGATGGCACAAATTTAAATTAAGGCTTATTCAGTTGCATAAATTTCAAAATAAAAGTGGTATTGAGCCATTTGGTTAGTTGGCTATTGATGATATTTAGTACTAATGGAAGCATCATTGTAATTCTATCCGAATGTGTTTGATTTCTATTGCAGGGGAAGCCGTTCTTGATATCCAGGTATAGCTGGAGGAAGAGCATCCAGATGGAGGAGCATTTGTTTTTCCCCCGCATAAGCGATGGGGTTACCATAATGTAGATTAGTGTAGTATTTTTTATACAATAACTAGGACAAATAGTATTGAAGTAGTTTTTAACGCCTCTGTAAATGAAATTCACGAACTCAAACCAGTCAGGTTCGCTAGATTCTAGCTTTCTTTAATGCTTGTTTTTAGCATAGTTGAAAACCTGTTGGATGGACAAAAAAGAAACTGCTCCTGTGCAATTCAGAAATTTGAAATTATTAACGAAATATCCATTCCCTTCCCTTTTGATCTATTTCTCCTTCGCACCGGGCCTTCAATTTCTTCTTAGAGTTCCGGAAAACCCTTCTAGCCAACTAGATCCAGACCCTGGCATTTGCAGAAGGTAATGTAGAAAAAACTGCTTTATGAATGTCAACAAGGGGACTTCGAAATTTCAAGATACGTTTAATTCAATTGCCCACCAAGAAGTTCCTGTTTCTTATGCTCTCGCTTCGTTTGAAGGCGAGTAACCTATTCTTAGAATTCTTCTCTCTTTCTTTCTCATATTGTTTCATCCTATTTTAATGTGATTTATCAATGGCTAAAGCTGACAATTCCACAGACCATCAAAATACAATCAAAAGACAAATAACCGGTTTGGTTGACAAATGAAAGAATGATATTTGCAGCCGAAATAACAAAATGGAGAATAAAAAAAAAAAATAGTGGTCTATGCGGATGACTTGAACACCATTCGGCCAGATTCATCCACGTCAAAAAGACGCTCTATAAAGTCATCCCAGCGTTTCCTCATTTTCTTAAATGACAACAACGAACCTGTCCCACTAGAGCTGCCGGAACCGTCCCCTTCTTCCGCTTCAGCAAACGTTCCATATGATGATGAGCAGGTTGCCTGTGGGATGTCCAAAGCAACAGCTCTCCGAAGTGCTGCCTCATACTCTTCACTGTGCTCTCGTGCAAGAGACTGCTGCCGCTGCATCCGCTGTTGTGCTGGAATTTCCATGATCCTATCTTTTTCCAGCAACAACTGACAAGGAAAATAGTGTTAACATTTACGTTGCAAATATAAAAGTTGATTCTCAATCTTCGATCGTCTAATACACAAAATCCACTTGACTGACACTGCCTTTATCATTTATAGTGGAGCCATATAAATGACATGTCTCGGAATTTTATAAGAAACTTGCCACAAATTGACCTCAACAAACATTCCGGGTGCTACTATTTTGAGCTGCACAGAACTTGTGAAAAAGCTGACTACCCTCCCTAGACTGGACAAACCAAGGGTTTATCTTTTTTTTTTTTTTCCTCCTTGAGAAGCTGGACAAGCAGGCTGTAAAAGTTTAATTGATGACTCAAACTAGAACGGTTATTTAAAAGCTGTCCCGGCCTTAGCCCAAACCCAGAACTACCAGGTTGTACAGCTTGTCAAGGAAGAAGCTAGAGTGCTAGACTTACATCAAAAGCCCTTTGAGATTCCCTCTCTAACCAGATAATGGCATGATCAGAAGTTGCATTGCATGAGAGAACTATGTGCTCGAAGCGCCCATCCACAGGGACTGCTGTTCTGACAACTGGAGGAAATCTTCCTATCCTGAAACCAAATGTAAAGGTGATCTGAATACGATAAGATGGAAATCAATAATTTAAAAAAACGTAAATTTCGTAAATAAACCTCTAGCAAATCAAAATCGAAAGGCAACCAGCACATTGTGGTGGCAACTGACAGCTCTTTTGGGTCTTACAATATTCATTGATAATAATCCGTTGCTCATTGAGCTGCTGCACCTAGCACATGAATGAGATGCTCCCCTGCCTAAGGGAAAACACAGATATCTAAAAAGGAAGAATGCATGTGCAGCCCTTAATAAATATTGGTTTCAAGATGCCAGCAGCATTATCTGCTTTGGCTTTGAGGCAGAGCCTCAAAAGTCTTTGATTGCCTATCTGTATTATAGGACAAATTGGTAAATCCTTCTTTATATCCCCGTATCATCAAGAAGTTCTTTCAGCAAAGGGAATAAGAACACCTGGGCAGCTGCTTTGTTAGGTACATGCAAAATACAGCTGAATTTACCTGAAGGGCTTTCTCTCAACGATATGGTATAGGCGTCCAGGTGCATATAGCCGCCTTGGATCCTTAAGCATCTTCTCCTCAAGAGTGCAAGTATCTTTCAAGCACATTAGGCATAGCAGACAAGGCAAACTGTCCAAATGACAGAAACTCAGCTTACTTAACATCTTGTCTAATGAACTTCATTAGATACATAATCATTATAACACAGATCAAATGTGCAAGCATAAGAGTCCATCAATGACCATCAGAGGTTTCCTCAACTAGCCCAATGGAAAAACTCCATTTAAGTTTCTTAGCACAATTGCACTTTTTCTTTATGAGTACCATATTGACTCATTTGACTTTTTTTAAGAAAGGTCTCAAATCTCAACACCTTTCCATTAGAATATATGCCAGATTACCAGATGCCATAAAAGAAAAAATAGACAGCTAGTAATGAAAAAGTGAATAAGACATACTATCTTTTACCAGAAAATTGATTTGTAAACATCTTCCAGAGCAGTGGTTGTCCGAGGTAAGAAATCATCCTGGTTCATTCAGTAACTCATATTAGAATAGAGCACATACTAATATTCCTAGGAGCAATGAAAGAGAAACTGACATGCTAGAAGTCTAAAGTATTAAGCTCTTTGCTTGTTCCATCAAATTGGGAGTCCGGCAGCAGGTTACAATTGTAAGAAAAAAGGCAAATTAAAAGGTTAATCACTGGATCACATAATATTTCTAACCACCAGGGTTTCTAATTCTCGAACCATATTTTATTCATTTTGGCAGAACCAAAAAATGCTGCTACTACCATTCTTATTAAGACCACTCATCATCATCTTATTTCTTGGTGTTTCCAATTGACGGATGCACCGACAAATTCAAAATTTAACCTTGACTGCAATCAATTTTGACCAAATTTTAAGCACTTTTGTTTTTGTAATTTCAAACACATAGCTGGCAGCAAAGGCAAGTCCTACCTGAAGCACGATAGAATTGATAACATCAGCATATCTCACAGCCAAATTCAGTGACACACATCTAGCAGGAGCCATGGCAAAGCATCTGATCCTCTTCCTCTCAATGTTCCCCAATCTATCCCGATTTTGAACAGCGTACATTACTATCAATGATACTATACCTGCACCTAAGGAGTGTCCAGCAAAAGTCAACCTATAATCTGGATTCATCTCAACCAAATCTTTCAAAAGCTCACACTCTGAATCAAAAACCCACTTTGCTGCCTTCAGTAGCCCATTATGCACATAACCACCATCGAACTTGGTCTGCCCCAATTTATTATCAAGTAGAACAGCGTAATCACTTTCCTTTGCCAAATTAAGTCCCCTAATAGCCAACACTATATCAGCATTATCATGATCGAGGTAAATCATATAAGGAGCAGCACACCCCCCTGTATCTTCATAAGTTCTCTTTACAACTACCCAATCAGGGTTAATACCATAGCCTCCTGGCGGCGCCCAAAGTGGGTTCCGAAGATCATCTTCATAGACAGATAGAATTAGGCGACAAATGTGAGGCACGGGCTCAAATTCTTCAGCTGTGGCTAAGCCCCAGTTCTCACTTTCATGACCAGCAGTGTATAGGCATTTTTTCCATAGCCAACGAGCACAGCCAAGGCAGTACACACATTCAAGGACTGGAAGGCCACAGAGGATTGACATAGAGGCCTATGATTCACGCATGATAATATATTCATCAAGAAACATGATTCAAATGAGACGAACGTATTAATGAATTTGGGGAGCTTAAATTTTGAGGAAAATCCAACTGGGGTTTAGAAGACAATCAGCTTATATGGTAAAGAATCAAACTTTCTTGTCAAAGAATCAGCGATCAAAACAACAATGTGAAGAAAATATACAAAAAACACAGTTCAAAAGCTTACGGTAATCTTTAACCCATTTGGACATTACATGGCATGAAGAATTTCAGCTAAAAAGTATGAGTGACAATCATATATATAATAAACAACAAACCAACTTCAAAAAAATATATATATACACAGACCCTTTTAAGAGAAACACTAAAGAAGTGTTCAATACAGAGAATAAAACAAAGAATTGGCTGGTGTTAGCAGATCAGAAGTTGCGAGAAAGTTGGGTTATCTAGAGTTGCTACTTTTGAGTGGAAGGTTTAAATTACAAAATTTAGACAACGAATAAATGGCTAAAGAAACAGTACAATCATATATATATATATAAAATAACGCTTTGCTGATAGAAGATGTAAGAGAATAGTCTTGTTGGATTATGTACCTGCTAGTCAAACCCATTTCCCTCTAGAGTAGGCTTTGCAAGAATCTCCTCCGTTTGGTGCTTAGATTCCCAGTTTTTATTTACGATCGTTAATCATTGGGGTCCGTCTTTCTTGCTGTTTGACTCTACTGCTGCTGCTGCCTAGTACAGCACGGACAGTTCGTGTATTTGGGCCAATCTCAGTCTAGTTTATTTAACGAAACCAATATTCACTTCTAGGCCTGTAGATTCGTACAGACTGCAAGCCTTAAACTTGTTCTTTTGGGCCAGTAGATCCGTGATACAAACCTAACTCCCTAGCAAACAAGTTACAGAAAAAAAAAAAATTAGAAATAATACTAGGTATCAAACCAGTTAAAAGACTATTATTGCCGTAATGCGTACTCACATCGAAGTTGAACTATGAAGTATGAACTTGTGGTGAGAGAATATTAATTAGTTCAGAAGTGGTAAATGATCCTTTGAGAAATGAAGTAAAACTGAGATGCATCAAATAATTCCTAGGAAGCAAATGAGATAAAGTAAGCACAAAGTCCCCTATAAAATTAGGCATTTCCTGAATAAATCCTTATAAACCAACCTGTTATCCCCCCCCCCCCCCCTCTCAAATCGTTGTTTTTTTGTTTTTTACCCTTAAATCGTGAAAAATGTTGCAGTGTACAGTACAAAAAAGCGAGCAAATTTTTGTAAATCTATTTAAAGGACGATTTTTTACATGTCTTAACATTCGACATAAAACGTTTTAAAGATTACCATTAAATTTATAATTTTTTTAGGATTCTCTAGTTTGAGGTAAAGTGATAACTTCATTTACATTAAAAAAAAAAAGTAAATTTAATTTTGATACTGTTAATAGCTCAAAAATATTAATAAATTATAAATTAATTCTTCTAGTTTTGAGAAACAAATCGATTAATTTTTTATTTTAAAAATTAATTATTTAATCTTTTATCGAGTAATGATCATGTTTAATTAAATATTATTTTATTTTTTTAAAAAAATTATTTTTTATTAATTTTTTTATTTAAAAATATATCAAATAGATAAAAAAATATTTAATTTTTAAAACAAAAGGAAGTAATTAAGTAATTTGTTTATTGAGAGAAATAATTTAAAAATAGCTCTATGCTAGTCAACCGTAAGCGATGGAAAAAAAAAAAACTGTTTTACAGTTACTGACCGTTAGTTCGGGGTAAAACAGTCCTTTACCCTCTGAAACACTCTTAAAACAGCAGTCTCGAGCGGCCAAGCTTTCTCAGTTGGAGCAGCGACAAAGAAAAACCCTAACGTCCCTGGCCGCAACCATCTCTTTGTTTTTTTCTCCCCAGCAGTTTTTCTGGCAGATTTTATAAGAGATTCTTCTGTTTGGTATGGGAGAAAATTCGCAAACCTTATTATTCCGTTTGAGTTTCTTGGTTCTTAAAGTTTATATCTGTTTGATTTGTTCAGATTTTTAAAGGACACTTAAAAAATGGGGCCAAGATGGAAAGGGAAAGGAGCAGATGCTAAAGCACTAGCAGATCCCATGTCAGAAATAGTCTCCCAGCTTCAATCTTCTCTCCTTCAATCAAATGCTCTTGGGTCACTCTCAGGCTGTAGTGTGCTTCTTGCAGTGGAAACAGAACAGACCGAACTTCTCACTCGTGCGTGTTTCGGTAAACCCATTATTACAGCTGAGAAAGATAAGCAATGGTTTCAATTGGGTTTGGAGGAAGCTTTTTATTTGTGTAATTCTTTAAAATGTTTAAAGATTGTTGGTGAAGATAATTTTGTTAAAAATGATTTAGATTTGTGGTTGCATATGAAATCGAAAAAGGATAATTTCCCGGATTTTTATAAGGCTTATTCCCATCTTCGTATGAAAAATTGGGTTCTCAGGCCGGGATTACAGTATGGTGTGGATTTTGTTGCTTACCGGCATCATCCATCTTTGGTACATTCGGAATATGCTGTGATTGTTTTGTCAGAAGGGGATGTTGGGAGATTGAGGGTATGGGCTGATTTCCATTGCACGATTAGACTTTGTGGAAGTGTTGCGAAAACATTGTTAGTTCTTCATGTTGACAAAAATGGTCATGGTGCTATCTGTCCATCTTGTTTGGAGAGTTACTCTGTTGAGGAGTGCACAATCATGAGATGGAGTCCGGAGCACAGCCGTAATGATCAGACAGCCTCGGAAAATGGAATCACGTAAGATGTGACTTTTGTCAGTCTTGCATAAACTATTTGATTATCTGGTTTGAATTTGCAAAGTATTTTGGTTAGAACTGCTTTTAGTGTGCCTGTGATTGCATGTTTAATTTATGATTATCTATTTTTTATGCTCTGTTTTTGTGCTTGGTAACATGTAAGTTAAGTTTTGATCATGGAGCTGATCTTCCTATTGTGATGGCCTAAGCAATTCAAGTGTCTTCCGTCTAGTTTAACTAGATGGAAAAGCCAATCTTTTGGCTGTCATTCATTAGATGTCTTAGGACAAGAAAAGGACATCTAATGATAAAGCCAAAGTGTTAGGTTTTATTCCTGGTATTATCAGCTTATGTGGTGGGTTTGAGATGCAAGTGTGCAAGTATCTATAAGTTAGCTAGTTCGACTGAGTATAAAAGCCAACTCTTAGCTTTATCATTCATTAGATGTCTAAATGAAAATGAGACCATTTAGTAACATCCAATGTCAAAGCCAAAAGTTTGTTTTTATGCATTTCAAGAAAACACATATTATAGGGGATGACCAGATATAATGATAAGCCATGCTGAAGGTGAAGTTTGACTTTTTGCCAATGAGAAGTAGGCTTGGCAGAGTTTCCAGATAAGGAAGGAGCTAACCTAACACTTATAACAAGTTTTTATAACCAACATAAATATGAAATATACTTCTTGGATAGAAACTTGCATCCATTTTATAACCAATATAAATTTTTTGCTAGTTGTTTTCAAACTTTATTATGCTATTTATATTACTGGTTGTTAAGATACTCCATGCAAGGAAAAGTGACTGGGGCTCAAAGATATGAAATCAATATAATCTTATACCATGCCAAGATTTGGCAATATGGTGCCACGGCAGTTATCTTAACCTAGATTATTTGCTCCTCTATTTCTTTTAACATTGAAGTTAGTTGATCGAAAGTTTAACTTTGTGATTTTGTTATTATTATGGAAAGTTGAGTTGATTTTAGTACAATTGATGTATTAAATGGGACTCATCATATGGCAGGTCTTTTCCCCTTATTTATAGGTTAAATATCACATGTTATTTCAAGGGATAAAACTTACAATTGTGATTTACAACTTGTTAGTTTCTTGTGTTACATGTGATATTAGAGTTATAAAATATCAAGACACACCGTATGATGGGTCTCATTTAGTAGATCAAGTGCACTAGAAATTAACTTGATTTGAAGTTTGCTGGGTTGGGTTTTCAATTTGTTTGAGAATCTTAAATGACAGCGAACTATTATTTCGTGTTTTTTTTATTCTGGATTGGCACCACCAATGTTTTAATACTGGCATGGCATGTTATGGAAATTACAGCTACACGGGTAGAATTTTTTTGAAAGCTAAAATCATCAAGAAGAAGAACCTTGCGTATTAGCCTATGTTTGCAAACATGATGGCTTTATTGTTACATAATTTTAATGATACCTGAGCACTGTTTTTCAGCAAGATTTCATCTTGATTTTTCATTAAAAGTAGTAAAATGATGCTTTCCTAAGAAAGGTACACATTGAGTGTTGCTTGCCACAGTTGCTATATGTCAAATGTGCAATTGCCTTCTAAAACCATGGTTTTCATGGCAATTTAACTTTACATACTGTAGCTTAAATTTCACCAACTTCTGCATTTGTTGTCTGGCTTCACATTATCACATGCAAACATCTATGGGTCTGGGTTTGGGTGCATGGAAATAGACCAAGCCATTGCAGTGCACTATTATTGGTTACATTAATAATATGGACTAACAATCATGTGCTACATTAGATGATTTGTAATTTGGAAAGTTGCACTTGCTTGGTAGGTAATAGCAATCGTTATTTGTGGCATTATATATTTATTTTGATGAAGCTTGCTTGCCTTACTGCAGTCTCAATTTATTGCTAGCATGTGTTTGCCATTTACAATATACACTTTGACGAACTACTTCTAGAGTAATGCACTGTTTTCTGATCTAGCTTTTTTGGTGATTGCACCAAACATAGACTAAACAAAAAGGACAAACAGTGATGAAGAAATTGGCTCAACTTCCTTTTGATATGAAGGTAATGAGCTATTCTTTTATAATAAATGTAACCGGTTATGTATTTTGCTCACTTTTCAACTTGGTTTGGTATTGTGTTATGTAATCACTACTTCTTTTAGGTGTTTTGGATTAACTAATCATTTTTTATTGTCCTCGAACTTCCCATATTTTTTTTGTTAGAAGCTAGAAAAAACTACCATTTGTATAGCATTTATTATTATTATTATTTTCTTTTTCAAAAAAAAAAAAAAAATCCTCGTTTTGCATAACTGTTCCCATGTCTTTTGATTATTGATGTATGTTTGATATTTTTAAAATCTTAGAAGACCTTAGAGCATGGTTTATGAGGATTCAATGGGAGGCTACTGATTCATGCTCCCGATAAGAAGAGCATCACACTACTTCTAACCGAGCATTGAATGTGGTAAAGAGAAAGATCCGTAGTTATTGCAGACCCAAGAGAATGCTTGGTTTTTCACAAGATGAGGTAATTGGCTGTCATATGATTTTTATACGGTTTGTGTGCCTTGAGTTTGGGCATTGCCTCTGTTTGTGCTGTTAAAATGAAACCAGAACGGAAAATATAGTATTAAATTTATTTCTTCTTTTACTTTCTTCTAAGTTACTGTTTCCATGAGGTTTTGTAACATATACTCTTACGCTTTCGTTTTTCACCATCCAGGACTGAAGGAGATATGGAGCTGGAGCAAAGAAGAAATGGACTTGAATCTCTTAGAGTTCTAGGGTGATCGAGAAATGTTTTACTGTTCCTGTTTCTTCTGATCCTTGTCCGTGTCCAAAATTTTTTTACAATCTGGACCAAGTCTTTTCTGAAGCTGTTGGGTTTTTTGTCTTCAAATTTTATCTGTCCTTTTGATCAGAATACAATGATTATGATATACACAGAGAAGGATTTTATCTTTGTGTTTCTAGAGAGAGAGAGAGAGAGAGAGAGAGAGAGAAGGATTTTTGGGTTGCAACGGCTATATCTGTCAGCGTATCTCAGATTTGGGCTTGGGCTGGCTTTGGACGGTTAAGAGTGAAGTGGGCTTGAGGTTGATAAACATGGTTGGGCTGTAATGGAAGACCAGAAACAGCAGTTGGTTCTGTGATTTTCCAATATGGAGGGAGGAATTTGATTTTAAAATTTTGTTTTAAAGATCCCTGGGGTTAATTGCAACGGCTATATCTTTGTGTTTCTAGAGAGAGAGAGAGAGATTTTTGGGTTGCAACGGCTATGTGTTTGTGTAAATTGCAACAGCTACATCTTTGTGTTAATTGCAACGGCTAAAAAAAATTGGAATTATGTAGAAGTTTCAAAGAAAATGCTAACAGAATCTTCTACAAACCCTATAGCTGCAGCGGTTGAGAAAGAAGCCGGATGGTTACTTTTGTCCTCGCCATTATTTTGAATGCCAAAGCAGGCTTGCAGTCGTTCTATATTCATTAATTACTGTAACCACAGCATGAATGTTACGGTTATAGTTATTCATTAATCACTGCAACTATGATGTCATTCTTCAATGCCAAACAGGGTTTTTCATATTCTTTCCATATGGGCTACTGATGGGGACGTGGGCAGCAGCCCCCACAGGTTTTTAGAAGACGATCTGAAAATAATTCCAATGCTTAAGCATTGATTTGGCACGTGTGTAATGATGGAAAACTAATTGGGAATTTGGATAATTGATTATGGCATTATAGTAATTTTAAATCTATTGAAAATTTTAAAGTTATAGTATTTCTATTTAAGTATTTTATTAGTTAGTTTTATTATTCTAAAATTGGAATAGTTATACGTTTACCTAATCTAATTAGGAATAGTTATATTGGAGGTTTATGAATCTTTGTCTTAATTGGATTTGGATTTCGCAACTTTATAAATTCGGTATGTAGCCTTTCAATATTCGGTATACATCAAACAATTTTGAGCAATTTGCTTCGATTGTGTGATTCAATCTTCCTTAAGTGTGATTTCTAAGAACCATAGGTATGAAGCTTAGGATTTTTCTACCCTCTAGGTGTGACTTCTAGAATTCTACCCATATACTTTCTCATATTTCAACGTAAACCTACTTCAATACAACCACTAAATACCTCTAAAAATCGGATCCGAACGGTACCTAAGTCTGTTTTGCATCGGTTGGTATTAGAGCTTCAAGATTTTAGAAACTTTTTTGTTCTATTCTTCAATCATGGTGATTGTTGTTGAAGTCAATGTAAAGTTGGAAGCCTTTCAACTAGAAGTTGAAGCGAGCAAAAAATCTATGGATGAAATGTTGGACAAAATTGAAAAAAGATTTGATTCCGGACTTGCGACGAATAGAGGACGATTTGATTTTAGATTTGTAGCAATAGAGATGTCAATTGAAAGGCTTTCGAAAATTATTCTAGGTAAGCAACTTGCTATCATAGCAACTAATAAGTCTTTCCCACAAATTCAAGGTGTTGTGGTCAGTCCGGAGTAACCCACCAATTGCATCGCCCATTCGAAGAAGGGAGCAAATCAACCTACAACACACTCGCTATTGATATTACAAAAAGGAGCAAGAGTTAATGTTCCCGATTTCGAAGGAAAGACGGATCCTACACTATTTAATGATTGGATTAGGTCCATGGAAACATTATTCAATTGGTATGATATGTCGGATGAATGAAAAATAAGATTTGTAAAGATGAAACTTACGAGTTTAGCCAAGATTTGGTAGCATCGTGTTGAACGGGACATAGTTCGACTTGGACATGCACTTATCACTACTTGGTTTGAGATGAAAGCCAAACTTATGGAAAAGTACATGCCGACTAATTATGTTCAAAAGATTCGTAAGGCGACTTATGTTTTACAACAAGGTAACCTAATTATTAATGAATATATGAAAAAATTTAAAGAGCTAAAGATTAGAGGTCAAATTGTGAAGGATCTTGAACAAGCCTTTGCCCGATTCAAGGTTGGTT